GCCCTCTATGGGTTCCTGCCATAGTAAATAAAAGTTCTTATCAGGCAAGAGATTTTTTTAGCACCTTTTTGTTATCAGTCATTCAGTCATTAAGATCAAGTAAATAGAATTGATTTGCTATTTATAAAAGAATAAGTAACACTCTTATTTAGATTACAGATCAGATTTCTTACCCTATCTGGGCTTTTCCTATAAATGCATTCTCAAGTGATACTTTTTTTTTTTTTTTGAGATGTTTTTGCTATAGGGCACGTGCGCTCGCCAGACAGACAGAGAGAGATAGAGAGATAGAAAGTGAGAAATCATCCCCCAGGGCGGATGGCCACGCCGCAGTCCCTTCTCCTCCATTCTCCTCTCGGGATCTTGGGCACGCACGCACACGCGCCCGGCGTGAGTTTTAAGCCACCGGGTCCGGGACACAAACCACGGTCAACTACGTGGTAGTCCAGCGACACAGCCATTACGTTAACTGCTGGTCCCTCAAGTGATTCTTTATGATAGAAAGAACCTTTCTGATCCTTACCTAAAGAAATAACCAAAATTTTTCAGGGTCCATGACAATAGTTAGTGGGAGCTTACAACCATCTGAAAACCAATCCTCTTTCTATAGTCTTTGCTTTCTTGAGGACTAACTCTACTGTAACTTCATGAAGATTCAGAGTCTAGCTTGTGAAATATTAGGAGTGATCATTTGATTGTAAATTAGCAGTGTGGAAGAAGCAAATGCAATGTCTTAGCTCAGCTCAATTGTTCAAGCTTTAACAGATTCTAAATGAATATTTAATTGCTTATGGTTCTGGTAGTTCTCTCAGCGTAGTGCTCACCTATTGCCTTCCCTTTACAAGTAGACAACAGTCATTATTCATGAGAAATAAGAGAAATAGCTTTCCCTAGTAAGCACCACCCATGATTGACAGCAGTTGATTTTCATAATTTTTATCTGGTAGACATGTAATTTTCTTTTGGATCCTTCCCATGCTATGACAAGCAGTCCGTCCATTCAATGAACATTTCAATGTGCCATCTGGATTGACTTGCTTGCTTCCTCTAGCTTTTGATGCTCAGGGTGCTGAGCAGAACTCTATATGTAATGGTCTATATCTAGCATTAGTAGTGTAGATAAAAAATCCAGACTGTGAAAACATCTTGAAAATCCAATATAGTGATGATACAAATATCCCGATTAAAAAGTAATGTATAAAACATTGTATGGTAAAAGAGTATGCAGAAAGTCACCATGAAATATTTTAACCTTAGTTAAAGATATAGAGGAGCTATCAAACAAAAGTACAGAAATTCAAAATGTGGTGACTTATTTGTTCTGAAATATAAGAGGCCTTCAAAAAGTTAATGGAATTGCATATTATTTAAAAACTATGAATGAATTTTTATTTTTGGCACCAAAATAAATTTTAACTTTCAATATATTTTTTCTATGAACTTTTTGAGTATCTCGCATATCCATTTCATTGTTTTGTTCCTGAATTTGGTGTGCAGCACATCACACCCAATTTCCTTAGTACACATAATGTTAGTCTTACCCAATGTATGTATATTTTCAATATAAAATAAATTTTAAAGGTTTTTTTTCTTTTTTAAGAGAGATTTTTTCTATAGAGTGTGTAACCTCACCAGAGAGACAGAGACAGAAAGCAATAAATCACCCCCCAGGGGGCCTGGCCACATTAAAGTTCCTTCCCTTCTCTTCCATTCTCCTCTTGGGATTTTGGGCACACATAAATGAACACATGCCCAGTGTCAGTTTTAAGCCACCAGGTCCAGGACTCAAACTGGAGTTGACTATGTAGGAGTCCAGCAACACAACCATTATGCCATCTACTGGTCCATCAAATTTTAAAATATTGCTTATAAAGTTTATTTATTTCTTCCCAGATAGATAGAAAGAGAGAGAGGGGGTCACCCCCAAGAGGATCTTCACACCTTACTATACACCTAGCCTCAGCCAAGCTGGTTCACAGGCACTCACACTCATGACAAATGTGTACAGGGTGATCTCAGGACAGAAACCCAAGATCTTCCAATGTGGATCCAGCACCACTGAGTGTGGCATTACTACTGTACCACCAGCTGACCACAAAATAAATTTTTATAAATTAGTAAGAATATCTCTAGTAGTGGGACCAGCAGTTGGCGTAATGGCTATGTCTCTAGACTCCCATGTAGCCGACTGCAGTTTGAGTCCTGGACCCAGTGGCTTAAACTCAAGCCAGGCACGAGTGCATGTGTGCTCAAGATCCTGAGAGGAGAATGGAGGAGAAGGGATTGTCGTGTGGCCATCCCCCCTGGGGGGTGATTTCTCGCTTTCTGTCTCTCTGTTTCTCTCTGTCTTTTTGGCGAGTGCATGCACCCTATAGAAAAAACTTCTTAAAAAAAACAAGAATATGTTTAGTACCAATATATCAATGGACAAAAGACACAGGCCAATTGCAAAGGAAAAATATGGAAAAAATCATTCAACCTAGCTATTCAATCTAGCAAAGAAATAAAACATGACAGTCTTCAATGTTTTGTCAAGATGTGAAGAAACAGCAAGTCCCATACAAGTGGAATGTTACTTAATACAATTTTTCTCAAAGGCAATTTGACGAAGTTTATTAGTTAGTACATTAAGATAGTAATTCCAAACATAGGAATTTATCTTAAGAGAAAATTAAAAAGGTGTTCCAAAATTAATCCATATGGATGATTGTCACACATGTTCATCATAGTAGTTTTTAAAAAATGACAAACATAGAGGCACAATAATGGGAAACTGATTAAATAAATGATAGTATATTTATGTTATAGAGTAATGCGAGGACAATAAAATTAATTATTTAAACTACATTTAGCAGAATTGTTTGTGATACATTGAATAAAAAAGCAGATAATAGATAAATATGTACTAAAAACAACTTATCAAAAGATTTATATATCTATCAAATGTATGTTTATCTACCTAGGAAAGCATATATGCTAAAGTATTTGCAGTATTAACCAATACTATTAAATTTTTAACCAAAATTAAATTGATAGTCTTTGCTTGGATGGATGGTTTTCATTTTCTTCTTTATACTTTTCTGTAATTAATATCTGAAAACCTGTTCCTTACTATAAACAATTTACTGGAGACTTTATAGATTTTAATTTAATTTAATTAATTTCATCTATTATTTAGTGGTTTTAACCTATGATGCTATGAAAAACACACATATTTAAAGGCTTGAATTCTGTAGTCTTAAAGTATATTTGACATTTTAGAATATTTTCCTTATTACACAAACAATATCTATTTTAGAAGCATTAAAATGCAAACAAATTTAAAGAATAAAAATTGCAATCTCACTACCCCATGTTTGTTGCGGGAAAATAGATGCCAAGGAAGGAAAACACAGCACTCTGGAGATGAAAAAGGAGAACTTTTTATTCTGCTAGCATGGCATGGAGGAGTTAACACTCTGAATGAATGGCCCCAGCTGAGAGTTGAGCACAGTCTTTAATGGGTGAATTTGGGGAAGGGTGGTTTCAGCATGTTTGGAGTGTCTTCTCAGGGAAAAGGTTCAGTGTTTGCCCTAATATAGAACTGGCAGAGAAGCAGGGAATTTAAACTTCTCAATGTCTCCAGTCGCTCAACAGCCCAGGGGAAGGGCAGCTAACTTATGGGGGAATAGAATGCCCAAGCAGTTATCAGCCCTGAATTTCTTTAAGGTCACGCATAAGTTCTGAGGTGTTCCACATCATGTTAAGTGAAATTATTTTTTAAGTTATTTCTTTGAGAGATTTTTGCTATAGGCACATGTGCTCACCAGAGAGACCGAGAGAGATAGAAAGCGAGAAATCACCCCCTATGGGAATGGCTATGCCACAATCCCTTCTCCTCCATTCTCCTCTTGGGATTTTGGGCACACATGTACATTCTCCTGGTGTGAGTTTTAAACAACTGGGTCCAGGACTTGAACCATGCTCAACTACATAGGAATCTAGAGACATAACCATTATGTCATCTGGTTTTCCCTAAGTTCATTTATTTACTGTTTCTATGAGAAAGACGATGAAAAATAGAGACACAATTCCCTTAACAGAGTCTTGATGCTGTGATCCACCTCTAGCCCTTCGGCTAGCCCCAGATCATGAGTTTAAGTGTGTGCCTGATATACACAGAGGTCTCCAGACACAAACTCAGAACTTCCCCATGCAGGATGGTCATACAGAGCATTGAGTTTTACT